TATTTTAAATAGAGTTTTAATTAGACCTTCATTAAATAAAACTCCTTATGAACTTTGGCATAACAAAATTCCAAATGTTGGGTATTTCAAAGTTTTTGGTTGTAAATGTTTTATTTTGAACAACAAAGAAAAGCTTGGAAAGTTTGATTCAAAAACGGATATTGGTATTTTTCTTGGCTATTCATCTACTAGTAAAGCTTATAGAATTTTCAATAAGAGAACTCTAATTATTGAAGAATCTATGCATGTGGTATTTGATGAATCTTGCAATAATATTTCTAATGAGTCTATTTGTAGTGATGATTTAGAAAGAAATTTTGGAGACTTACTCGTTAGTGACAACGGCAAGGAAATTGTTACGAGTAAAGAAGAGGTGAGCTTAAAGGAAGAAGGTTCTTCATCAATGCCAAAAGAATGGAGGTATGCCTTGTCTCATCCCAAAGACTTGATTCTTGGTGATCTCGAACAAGGTGTGAAAACTCGCTCTTCTATTAATTTATTTAATAATCTTGCTTTTGTTTCTCAAATTGAACCAAAAAGTCTTAAGGATGCCGAAAATGATGAGTTTTGGATTTTAGCCATGCAAGAAGAGCTAAATCAATTTGAAAGGAACAAAGTTTGGAAATTAGTCCCGAGGCCATCTAATACTTCTATTATTGGAACCAAATGGGTTTTTAGAAATAAAATGGATGAAAATGGGAATATCATGAGAAATAAAGCTAGGCTTGTAGCTCAAGGTTATTGTCAAGAGGAAGGCATAGATTATGAAGAAACTTTTGCACCCGTTGCTAGATTAGAAGCTATTAGAATGTTACTTGCTTTTGCTTCTTACAAAAATTTTGTATTATATCAAATGGATGTGAAAAGTGCATTTTTGAATGGTTATATTATGGAGGAAGTTTATGTAGAACAACCTCCCGGATTTGAAAATGTAGAATTTCCTCATCATGTCTATAAGTTGAAAAAGGCTCTTTATGGCTTAAAACAAGCTCCAAGAGCTTGGTATGATAGACTTAGTAATTTTCTTATTGGGAATGATTTTAAAATGGGCAAACTCGACACTACACTCTTTATTAAGATTAAAGAAAACGATATGCTATTAGTGCAAATATATGTGGATGATATCATATTTGGTTCTACTAATCCTTCTTTATGTGAAGAATTTGCTAAATGTATGCATAGTGAGTTTGAGATGAGTATGATGGGAGAACTTAGTTTCTTTCTTGGACTTCAAATCAAACAACTCAAGGATGGTATCTTCGTCAATCAAGAGAAATACACTAAAGATTTGCTCAAAAGATTCAAGTTCAATGGAGGTAAGATTGCAAGAACTCCCATGAGCACATCCACTAAGCTTGACAAGGATGAAAAAGGTAAAAGTGTGGATATTAAAACTTATCGAGGTATGATTGGATCTTTACTTTACTTGACCGCTAGTAGACCCGATATTATGTTTAGTGTGTGTCTTTGTGCTAGATTTCAATCTTCTCCTAAGGAATCTCATTTACATGCGGTTAAGAGAATATTTAAATATTTGCTTGGAACTATTGATTTAGGATTGTGGTATCCTAGAAATGTTGAATTTAAATTGATAGGATATTCTGATGCGGATTTTGCCGGAAGCTTACTTGATCGTAAAAGTACTAGTGGAACTTGTCAATTTCTTGGTAGTTCCTTAGTTTCTTGGTTTAGTAAAAAGCAAAATTCGGTTGCCTTATCTACTACCGAAGCGGAATATATTGCGGTTGCTAGTTGTTGTGCTCAAATTCTTTGGATGAAACAAACTCTTTGTGATTTTGGATTAAAGTTTCATAGTGTGCCTATATTTTGTGATAATACAAGTGCTATTAATTTAACTAAAAATCCTATTCATCATTCTAGAACTAAACATATTGACATTAGACATCATTTTATTAGAGAGCACGTGCAAAATGGACATATTATTCTTGATTTTGTAAACTCTAATAATCAACTGGCCGATATTTTCACCAAGCCATTGAATGAAGAAATTTTTTGCAAAAATAGGCTTGAGCTTGGTATTATTCGTTGTGATATATCTTGAATTTTATAATTTTTGAATGCATGTTTTTAGGGGGAGCCATTACGTCATTCTTAAATGTATTCTCTTTCGATTGTTCATTTTGATGATTACAAAGGGGGAGAAAATTAAGAAAAATATGTTCTAAATTTGTTGTTTTATAATTTATGAATCATTTACTTGGTGTGATGTTTCATAATTTCTTGAGGCATTAATATAAGGGAGAATATGCTCTTGAGTGAAATTTATGATAACATATTAGTATGTACTGATATTATTACATGGATGGTGTATTATTGGTTTTTATGAATTTTTCTTGAAATGGTTTGTCATCATCAAAAAGGGGGAGATTGTTGGCTTATTGGCCCTTGATCTCACATTAATTAATTTCAATGAATTAATTATTGATGTTTTGATGATAACAAACCTACTTTTAATTATTAACTATTTTCAGTTTTTTGAATTGTCCACAGTATAAGGTCGGGAATAACGATTACAACAACTTTTCAATTACTCAAATCAGAGCTAAAACGAAGAAATTAGAGTCGAGACAACATACCCGACGTGATGATGTGGCAACAAAATCAAAATGATGGACAAATCAAAATATATCAAAGTATGACATTTATAATATTGGAAGAGTAACAAATGGTGGAGTTTTTTCTTATTATTACATTTCTAAATAAAATTATTTTTACAAAATATAAATTTGAATATAACCGTTACTCACATCGAATTTTATTATTACTATATTATATTATTATATTATTATATTTTAAAATTTTAGTAGTTACTCACATCATTTTTATTATTATTATATTATTATATTTATAATAAATTTTGAATTTCATTTGACCGTTACTCACATAACTTTTTATTATTATTATATTATATTACTATTATATTAAAATTTTGAAATAAATGAATTTAGAAAATTTTCTTATTTAATTACTTTTAATCTCCACCTTCCATTATTCCTAACACAATCCAATGGTCAATATTCAATCCTACATTTTGCCACTTTTCTCCTCTATATAAACTCATCTTCCCCACATTTTTAAAACACACAACTTACATACATTCTCCAATCCTCATTTGTTCAAAGTCTCCATTGTTTGTTGCTCTCTCCAAGCTTACAAGTTCATTTCTTTTCATCTTATTCTTGAGAGGGATTATTTTTGTATTGTGAGGAAATAGTTGTGAGTATCCCAAATTGTAAATCTACTCTTTGAGAGAGTTGTGGTGTGTTATTATCAAACTCAAATACTTGTATCGGTTTGATCCTGCGCCGTGGAAAGGATTGAGTTTGCTCTTGAACTCGTAAAAAGAGCGGTGTAGCGGTTTGGCTCAGATCCGTGGAAAGAGTCGAGAAAGTTCTTTATTCAAATTCTCAAGAGGCGCTTGGGGAGTGGAGTAGGTCGAGTTTGACCGAACCACTATAAAACTACGGTGTCATTTTCTCTAACTCTTTTCTACTTAATTTCAAAATTATTATTGTGATTTATTGCATGTTCTACTTGATTATTGTTTTGACTTGAATTACTTTGTTATAGTAATTATCATCTTCTACTTATTTGCAAAAAGTTTCATCATTAGAAAAATTAATCACGTTTAAACACTTTTATCGTTAAAACCCTATTCACCCCCCCTCTAGGGTTGCCATACCGATCCAACAATATTTTTATTTTAAAAATTACAACATTATCTTAATCTTACCTAAATGTCTCAAAATTAGCGTTTAGTATAAAATTGATGTGGCAATAATATCAACACAATAATTGAAATTTAATAATTATTTTGTTAATATAAATATTTTCATTATTATATTAATATTTTAACGACATATTTATTTATTTTATTTGTAGAATTTGGACCATTAAATTTACACCTCGAGTAACATGTTTATAAAAAAACCTCAATATTGGTGGGACCCACTAAATGTAGCGACTGCAGAAGAACGGGTGTAGACAATAATTTCCCTTTTTTTCTTTTTTTTCTTCTTATTTTAGACAAGGAAATGATTGGTACACGTGTCGATGTGCTATTAATTATATTAAAAAATTCGTCGTTATCTTCTATTGCACCAATCATGCGATGCAGGATGGTGGGGCCATTGAAATTAAGAAATTTATATAAATAATTTAAAATTTGTCCGACGTGTCGTTTACCTGGATGTTGAAAATTAAACGAGATTATCTTGTCCTGTTGTCTGCTGTAAAAGAGGTTTTAAAACCCGTCTACTAAAAAAAAATTTCACACACTTAAACAATGTTCGTTACTTTTTTAAACTAATGTAGGAATCTCACAATTATCAAATCTTTTAATAATGCCAGTATTTTTTTTTACAGTAATGATGAAATTTATTGACTTTTCTCGTGAGACAATTATAATATATTGTCTTAGTTGACCGATATTTTAGTATAGAAATATAGTCTAAAGCACCTTTTCGATGAGTTTTTCGAGTGTCGTGTTTAACCACACGAACAAGGTTACTTGCTCAAGTTGCTTACTAAGCTGGATAAACTTGGCTATCCATAGTTTTCACATGATGCACACCTTTTTTGTCTTCTAAAAAATTCGTTCCTAACGTCTATCCTTATGTCAAATAAAATAACAAATTAAACCAACAAAAACACAAACCATCTTAATCAAATTTTTATTTTCATATAACCAATTATTAAAAAATAAAAATGGAAATAAAAATAAATTTTATTTCTAAACTCGTCGAGTTATATTAAAATTTTGTCAAAAAAAAAATTTAATAATTAACTTAATATTATTTTGTAAAAATTAAAAGATAAATAGAGGTTAAATTGGAATAGTCAACATAGCGGATAGTCAAATATGAGGGCGAGTGTACACTAAAACAATGAGGTCGGCCGTATTCTATAATGGTCTCTACGTTTTTTTTTTTTTAATTTAAATAAAAAAAATTTAAAATGTTCGTACGCGGAGCAAAGAAAGGAGGGGTTCGAAGCGTGAACTTATCCATTAAATCCATTATAAAACTGGTGGGACTTTGATTCCCTCGGAGTAGTTGAAATTCAATTCAATCAACAGAGAAGAAAAAGAAGATCCAGAAACTCGAAAACTTCCATCCATCTTCAATGGCGTCAAGGAGAGGCTTAGCCTTTGGATTCGGTTTCCATTCCAAACCTAACTACATCTATCCAGCGTCAGAGCCACCCGCCGTTCGCCGTCCTGAATCTTCTGCTGACAACCTCTTCGACTTCGAAGAGGCGGATATCTGGACGTCTGCCCAAACTTCGCCGATAGAATCGAGGAAGATCTTCCCGATCTCGAAGAAACTGCCGAAGAGAAGTAGCGCTGCGGCGGAGAAGACGGTGAAGGCGTCATCGTCATTGCCTGTCAACATTCCGGACTGGTCGAAGATTCTGCAGAGCGATCAGAGCAAACACGGCCCGCGAGAAGCAGCTGAGGAGGATTTTGACGATAGCGACGATGACGACGACGATATGTGGCGGGCGCCGCCGCATGAGTATTTGGCGCGACGGCGAGGCGAATCGTTTTCGGTTCACGAAGGGATCGGAAGGACGCTGAAGGGCAGAGATTTGAGAATGGTGAGAAATGCAATTTGGGAAAAAACTGGGTTCGAAGATTAATTCAAATTTAATTTTTAGTTAGCGTCCGTATAATTAATAATATAATCAGTACCGGAAATTATACTCAAAATAATTATTAGAGAATTTTGATGGAGTAAATTAATGTAATTTTTCCATAATTTATTTCATTTTCTTTTTGGTTATTTGTGATTATCTGTATTGGAAACCGTGAATTTTTTGTGATTCCAAATCTGGAAACTTCCATTAAACATAATTATCTCCAAGTTTAAATACTTAAATTCGGATGCTTAACGACTAAGCAACCCATTTAGTATTAAATTATAATTATTAATGCAATTTAATTGCTTAGAAAAATAGATTAATTAAATTTTTTTAATTAATTGAAATGGGAGTCGGTGAGAAAGCAATGGACAAGCTAGAGCAATTCTTTGAGTAAAATAATTAATATCTTTTCTTGCTTGCCCAATCAAGTTATCCTTTTTAATTAAAATTTATTTTTAGAATTTTCTAATTATTTTAATTCTATCAATTTATCAATATTTAAAATAATAAGAATTTTGTAGAAATATATTTAAAACAAATAATAAAACTTGGTCCACTCGGAGGGTGTTTATTATGTCTTAAATTTAAAACTAAATGTAAATTAAAATTTCCACGTGGCAACTTTTGATTTGCCAAAAAAGTGTGGATATTTTAAATTATTATTATTTTTTTTTTTTAATTTCTCAGTAGAATTAAAAAGTGAAGGTGTGAACTAATTTTCATAAAGGGTTAGAAACGCGCAATTATTTAAAAGAAATAAGTCAATTTTGTAACGGTTACACCGTGAGACGGATATATTATAGACAGTTTGGTTATTTATTGGACATGATACTCAATCCTCCCATAAGCCACGTGACGACGTACGGTTTAAAATTACACTAATAACCTTTTATGCTACCGACAATATAAATTGTAATAAAAAATATTAAAACTAAAATATTAATTATATTTATAAAATTTTAATAAAAAAAGTTTCACCTATGAATATAAATGGTAAGAATAAGATATATAATTTGGTTTGAAAGTTGGCACTAAAGGGGAACAAGAGGGACCATAGAGAATAGTTCGTAATTGGAAGCAGCCAGAATATTGCTCCTCTAGTGGAATAAGATATTCCTGTCCGGAATAAGAATCCACATGGAGATTTGGAAACGTGAAAAAGCATCCAAACACTCCCAAAAAAAAAAAAGTGGGAAAAGAAAAAAAGAAAAGGATAATGGCAATAATATGCAAATAAAAAAAGAAAAAAAAAATTCAATAAATCCACGTAATAAAAAATATTTAAGAGTTTTACAATTTCATAATTAACTTAATAAAAAAAATAGATATCAAAAGTTCCAGATGAATGGTCATATATCCTAGAATTATAATTTATATATCACATCCATGATTTATATAAACTTTATGGATACGAAAAAAACGATAAATTAGTCGATTGAAATGCAACAAAAAAAAATGGGATACGTGGTAGGTCTGACATCGACCCATTTTAATAATTTAACCATCATATTCAAATATCCGGCTATAATTAAATTTAACAATATATTTACAATTATTTTTTACTAAATTTTTTATTAAAATGTTTAAAAATAGTTTTATTTTTGCTTAATTAATTAAGATTAAGATTAAGATAGAGATTAAGATATATTATAGTAAATTTAAATTATATTATAGTTAAAAAAAAAACAAGCGGTTAGGGAGTCGTTATAACTTGGCAGTTGGCCGTTTTATATTTCAGTCATACTATATATTATTAATTAATACTAAAATATTAAATTCGAAATAATTACGTATGGACAAAAATGAAAATTGGGCCTTAGTGGGCCGGGTTAGACATTTGAGCCCAATCATGATGGGCTAACCGCACACTAGTCTGCCTTCAGAGAGAAGTTTCCTCCGGCCTTCACCTTCGAGGTTGTCGCCGTCAATTCATCGGCCATTGACCTTACAGAGAGGGACATGGGGAGAAATCGGAAGCAAATCTTGGTAGGTTTGGCTGCGGCGATGTTCTTAGGATTGGTGGTGTACATGAGGCTTTGGACCATAGATTATTCCATGTCTACCGATGAAGCCGAACTGCTCAGGTCTGGATCTTACATTTTGGTTTGTTTTTCTCGTTTTGTAGGCTATGATTACGGAAATTTGTATGAAAAATTTAGGACATGGTACTGATTCCGGTTAATCTGTGTTTTCGGGATTTCGAAATGTGAAATGCAGTAAGATTATTATATCGGTTAGATTTAAATTGATCGTTAATGGATTATTTAGGAGGCAGTTCGACCTTGCGAACCGCGAGGCAATGGATGAATCTGCGGAATGGCGTCGTATGTATGATCACGAACTAGACAGAGCCAAAAGTTGTAACAGTGAGCTAAATAAGGTCAGCATCTTTAGGGTTAAGTTTCCATGAAGATCGATAAATTCAGTGGAGTTTTTTCCTCACTGCATTGAATTTATATTTTGGCATGATTTGTTTATTACTTTTCTGAGACCTGTCGTTTGAGGGGGGTATGCTTGAATTTTTTTTATTATTGTTGCTGCTCCTATGATCTACGGATTGTCAATCAAGAGATTCAAAACATTTTTGCATTGCCAACCGTCGAAGAACTTGTTAAATGCGAAATTAGAAATGCTTGTGTATAGAACAAGTAACTCTCTGTTCTTGGCAGTGGATGATGAAATCTTTCTCATATTGTTGATCTCTTATTTGCATTACGTTGCTGTTTCAAGTAACTGGTTTAAGTGACATATTAGCTCAAGTTTTTGTTTATAGGATAATTTAACATAGTACTAGAGCACGAAGGTTTGCATTCAAACTTTGTCATATGATTTTCTTTCCTATTAATAATGGTAGTCACTCGTTGAATCTCACCCAATTTTGAAATCTTCGAGTGAGAAGAGTGTTAAAAAGAGTATGTGAAAGATTAAATGTTTCGTAACTCGTTGATTTGAACTATCGAGTTTAGGGATTATTTAACAAACCCCACGCGGTAGAAAGTTTTTTTTTTTGTATGTATTTGATGATCACTGATCAAGCTCTATATGATTTACAGCTTAAGGAATCTTTTGAGAAGGTAGGAGATGTTGCTAGAATCAATCAGAAGTTGACAAATTTGCAAGAGGTAACTCCTTGATATAACTATGTAGTTATCGATTTTCGAGTATCTTAACTGAGTAGTATGTTGTCTACTTAATATTTATTACAAAAACTTAGGAAATATAAAACTTAGGAAATGACTTAAGAAATCCTTGCCTAATATCACATACATGCAAAGAAATGCTATTGTTCGGTGGTGAAGGTTTTTGACTAATGAATCGATAGTCAAAGTCATTCCATTCCGGCCGGAGACTGTCCTTGATCAAAAGAAGGTCCCCTGTAATTCCTTCTAAAGCTTGTTGAATCATTTTGCTGGATTCCGTCATCTCACCAAGTTTGACTAAATAACGAACTAATTTATTGACTCTCCCTTCACTGGAACTTCCCAATCAAATTCGTCATAACACTCAACATGATCAACTTGACATCCCATGGTATTCCGGAAGCTCGTAGCATTGGTCCTGATAACCCCCAATAAATGGATTACCTCTTCTCCAGAAAGAATGCCTACTCCCTCAACTCGTTCTCAAAAAACTAGGATTTTGTGTAATCTGTTTTTGGTATTCAGTAACCGCAGTCAAAAAGGAATCGCAGAAATCTAAACATTTATCTATCCATCGTCTCGAGAACTAAAATTTGGCTTGTATCTGTATGTATATATGGTTTTGACCCCTTAAACATGTATGTAATTTTCAGGAAAACGCTGCTCTCCGTAAGGAAGTGGATGCCTTACAGCTAAGGCTAGAGGCCGAGAAGTCGAGGTGTGGTTCTCAGTAGAGCTGGTCAACAAACACCGTAACGAATACTAATACCGAATTTGAATTCTAAAATGTCTATAACAAGTACCAAATGATGAACTTATGAAGGTCGATGCGTATTTCTCTTTGTTATCGGCAAATAATGAAAGGGTTTACCTGGACTCTAGAGGAGAGGCGATTCTTCAATTCACCACTGACTTTCTCTTGCTTTTTAATGTAACGTCAACATCTGTTAGCGATGGGCTGTTACACTTAAACTCAACAAAGCTCAGGAGAAAGGTAAGATCCTCAAGTTTCGAGTAAGGTCGTCCGATAATTAGATTCTCAAGTCTGAATGCGCACGGGAATGTTGGTAGAGGGATTGCAGGAAAGAAAAGGATGGAGCTTCCCTATTTGTAGCCATAAGCAAAGCTGTGAAATAAAGGTAACAAAGAGGGAGGTTTCTTTTTCTTGAATCAAGTGTATGTAGTAAAAGTTTACTCTTTTCCCCCCTACTTAGAAACCAAATCAGACTACGAAAATTCTTCCGAAGATCTGTGTTTGTGTTTCTTGGAGTAAATTATATTTTGAAGGATTAAATTCAAAAGGAAACAGCCCGCAGTTAAAAAGTTTTTACTGTTCTCGAAGTGATTAATGATTTTGAGATAGTTAATTGGCCAATGTAATTAGAATAATTTTATATATGAAATGGAGGATTAAACCATTAATTAACATTAATCACTATAACTTATAACTAAAATTAGAAACAGTGTAGTAGCAGTTGGATTAAATTTCTTTTCCTCACATTGTTAGAGGTAAGTGTAATATTTTTTTTTAATTATTTTATAAAATCAAAAGACTAAATTATATTTATATATATATATATATATATAACCTTCTAATTTTTGTTTTATGTTGTATAAATGTTTAAAAATACATAGAAAACAATAATTTGATTTCAAAATCTATTTTATTGCATAAAATCAAATTATTGATATTTCTTTTTAATTAGAAATTCAATTTTTTTTTTTTGATATTATAAAGTGGGGTCTTATTAAAAAATTTTATGTGATTAAATTGGTGAATGTGAAATTATATTGAAATTAAATTGAAAGAAAATAAAAAAAAAAATTGAGGATATAAAGACGACATGTCGTAAATGTGGGTGGGAGAGTCTTAGTGAAGCGCAAATGTAGAAGAGGAGGAGGAGGAGGAGGAGCCATTGGAAGCGCTCCATTTTGATTTTGACTCTCACTTCTGTTCTTTGTTTGCTTTAGACTCGCTACCTTCCATCGAAACATCTTCACGATCATCTAGGAATGTTCCCATTTCTTACATTCTCCTCCTCCACATTTTCCGCCATTTTCCGCCATTTTCCTCCATTTTCCTCTTCCCCCTTTCTCTCCATGTTTTAGCCCTTCTCTTCCCATGCCCACCCATGCCCACCATGAAATTAGGCATCAAATCGGAAGCATTTCATCGCGACGGCCAAACCTGGTAACTCCTTTTTGTTATTTCCATTCCCGATCACGATCTGGATTACACAACCTTCATTCTGTTTATTATGATTTTGTATTAATGCCGATTCGTATGGTTTACAATTTCACTCTCTGCTTCTGTTAAATGATTACTCTGTATTTTAGTACTCGTTGTATGATTGAGATTGTATCGTCTGGTGTTCGTTAGGCTTTGCTCTAGTGGATTACCTAGCGATGTTGCGGTTGAAGTTGGGGATATGTCTTTTCATCTTCATAAGGTCTGTTTGTTTTCGTATTGTATGAGTTTTCAATTGAATGAACAGATTGAATTTGTTTTTTATTTTTTTTTGGTAAATTGCTTAATTGTTTTTCCATCAGTTTCCTTTGCTTTCGAAAAGTGGGTTTCTAGAGAAGCTTATAGAACAGCTTCCCAGTGAGGATGGATCCGGTCGTGTTCTGAAACTTCATGATATTCCTGGTGGAGCTAAAGCTTTTGAACTTGTTGCTAAATTTTGCTATGATGTTAAAATAGAGCTCACTTCTTTGAATATAGTCAGCCTTAGATGTGCTGCAGAATATCTGCAGATGACTGAAGACTATGGAGAAGGGAATTTGATTTCTCAAACAGAGGTTTTTCTTAATGAGGTCTTTGGCAATTGGACTGATACCGTAAAAGCTCTTGAAACTTGTGAAGAAGTTGGTGCATATGCAGAAGAGGTACACATTGTGTCAAGATGTATTGATTCCTTGGCTGTCAAAGCTTGTGCAGACCCACAATTGTTCAATTGGCCTGTGAAGGGACAGGAGAATGCCCAAAGCCCCAATGGGACAGTTCTATGGAATGGGATATCTTCGACCACGAAGCCACAGCCTACTGGTGAGGATTGGTGGTACGAGGACGTGTCGTTTCTTAGATTTCCCCTGTATAAGCTTTTCATTTTGTCTGTTGAAGCTAAAGGATTGAAGGCTGAGAATATAGCTGCATCATTAATACATTATGCTAAGAAGAATATCCCCTTGATCAATAATCAATCAAGCTTCAATGATATGAACCATGTTGGCTCAGGAGCCACAATTTCTACAAATTCTGAAGTAGATCAAAGAGTCCTGCTTGAGGAAATTGTGGGGTTGCTACCGAGTGTAAAGGGTGTCACCACCACCAACTTCCTGATTGGGCTCCTCAGAACTGCTATGATTTTGCATGCTAGTCCATCATGTAGGGAAATTCTAGAGAAAAAAATAGGCAGTCAATTGGATCAAGCTTTGCTTGTTGATTTACTCATTCCTAACATGGGGTATACAGTGGAGACTCTTTATGACATAGATTGCATTCAGAGAATTCTGGACCATTTCATGTATATATACCATGCTACAACTGCATCTTCTCCTTGCATAGTCGAAGAGGGACAGTTGGTCGGTGGAACGGATACGCTGACCCCTTTAACGATGGTGGCAAGTCTGGTGGATGGATATCTTGCAGAGGTAGCTCCAGATGTTAACTTGAAGCTGCCAAAATTTCATTCTCTTGCTGCTGTGATCCCTGATTATGCTAGATCAATGGATGATGGAATTTATCATGCCGTTGATGTGTACCTAAAAGTAAGAGCTATTTTCCCCACTTGCATCAGGCATAAGATCAATTGCTTTTACGTCAAGTTCATCTAGATTCTGAGTGTTCATGTTCTTCACCTTGTGTTTAATCCAATTGGGTAGTAAAAGTAATCTGGTTTATAGCTTGTGGATATTGGCATCAATGTTCTTAAACCCCTTATGCAATAATGATTGATGATCTTTGCAGAAGGATAGAATATCAGTGTAGATCGGTTTTGAAACTTTCGTGGGCTGATAGTATTTGCAACTTGTTCAGGCTCATCCTTGGCTTTCAGATTCAGAGAGGGAGCAACTATGTAGATTGATGAATTGCCAAAAGCTCTCTTTAGAAGCCAGTACACATGCAGCGCAGAATGAGAGGCTACCTCTTCGAGTAATTGTTCAAGTTCTATTCTTCGAGCAGCTTCGACTCCGCACGTCGATATCTGGTTGGTTCTTTGTTTCGGACAATCTCGAGAACTCGCAGCATCCTAGTCGAAACTTAGGACTTCCTAAGAACGATTGTTCTAGGCCAATGGAGTCTAGTGCACAAGATGGAGAACAGGGTGGTGGAAAGGATGTAAAAGAGAGAGTTTCAGAGCTTGAAAGGGAGTGTGTAGGCATGAAAATGGAGCTTGAGAAGCTGGTTAAGGCAAAGAAAAGCTGGAGCCTTCTTCCAAAAAAGCTGGGATTCAGAAGAAAATCACAGCCTTGCATCCCAAAGGCAGATGATGTAAAGGAACAGACACCCTCTGCGAGTGCTCCACAAAACAATGAAAGTGGTGATGTGGGCCATGGAGTAGTTGAGTAAGTGAGTATAGATGAATTAGTTCATAGATGGATAAAACTAATCATTCTCTAGCTTTTGTAGAATATTTTGAGCTTGGATTTTTGGTTTCCATCTTCATGGATTCTAATACTCTTAGAGCGAGCATCCTTGTCAATTCTTTAATGTCTAAAATTTGACTGATTTTTGAAGTTGTAAATTAGTATAATTTGAAATAGTGAAGCCAAGTCTCTATCGAATCGTTATATGGAAGAATTTGACCTTTATTATTGAAGTTTTGAGATCCCTATTTGGTTGGAAAGGGGAACGGAAATCTCTCTCTAATAGATGTATTTTAAGATCGTGAGCAGATGATCGTGCGTAATGGGCCAAAACAGTCAATATCTACTAACAATGGGCTTTGACTATTACAAATGGTATTACAGTCAGACATCGAGTGGTGTGCCAACAAGGATGTTGGACCCCCAGGAGGGGTGGTGAGTCATCGGACAGCGCGAGACACTGGTCGGTGTAGGGCTAGGCATTCTCTATAGTAGACACGTTTTAAAATCGTGAGGCTGACAACGATATGTAACAAGACAAAACAGACAATATCTACTAACGGTGAGCTCGAGTTAGTTATATTACTCGTCTCCCACCAAAATCCCATCTATCAAATCGTTATCTTGAAAAATCCCGTTTCGAATATTCAACCATCCTCTTCCAAAAGAAGCTAAAAATGGCTTTTTGTTCCTTAAAAAGAAAGAAAGAAAGAAGTGTAATGAAATGAAGGTAGCCCAAAAGTAGAAAATACATATATAAGTTGCCACTGAAGATGGAAATGTCATCAGAGCTACAATCCTATACTTACAGCTTTTCAAGGATATAAAAAGTTTCAACAATTAAATGTAGTAGTAGCCCTTTCAAACAATGACACTGAAATAAACGAATTTACAAAAAAAAAAAAAAAAAAAAAAAAAAAAAAAAAAAACTTAGACTCCTCCATTTGCAAAATTCATCATCATCATCATCATCATCTTCTTCAGTTCAGAAATCACCTGGAGATATCACAATTTTGAGGGTAGCCAAGCTGCTCTATCTCCCAACTAAGCTTTGAAGCAACTCTTTCATGGCAAGGCACATACTCCTGCACACAACAACCAACTCTTTATTTGATTAATGGAGTTCACAAACACGAGCTTTTTTGTTGATGATATAAGTTTAGAACAGCTACCTCAAGTTTGCTCAAGAACAATATATTTGCTATCATATTTTAAACACAAAAACTTGAAACAATCGATATTATGGTACTCATGAAACTATGTTTTGTAGTTTTGGTATTTGATGATACCTCCAACTTCTTCACTAGCTCCTTCGCTGATGGCGCGGAAACGATAATTTGACGCGCACTTGGACTGACGAATCCCTCCTCCACAGCTTTATCAATAAATGACAGCAATGAATTGTAATATCCATCAACATTCAACAGCCCCACCTACAGTTTTCAGTGTTCATTTTGTTCATATTCAGTAACTATCACAGCACTGGAAAAAGTAGCAAAAGCAAGAGCACTCACTGGCTTGTCGTGGATCCCAAGCTGCGCCCAGGTTATCACTTCAAGTAGTTCTTCAAGAGTCCCATAGCCACCTGCATTCATTTCATATGTTGTAATATTACAGCTGCTTGTGCAAAATCATGCAGATGATCCATCCAAAACAAGCAATTAGG